TCAAACATATGGCACTGGTGCAAACTGTTTAAAAGGCTCATATACAGTATATATTGGTCCTGCATGTTGTATCACTCATAAATGGTAATCCCATGTGGCAAAAAAAAAAATGGCTTAAAACATAAATACATACAAACAAAATAAAAACATCTCCTAGTGAAATCAGATCACATTTGGCTCCAGACTGTTGCTGAATGGTAATTCTGGTTTTATATGTCCTGTTCTTTGGACAACAAGAGGAAAGAGACAGACAGTGAGGGCAACCATGGAAAATATTAGCTCAGTGGATGAAGGAGAGGTGCCAAATGAGAAAAAGACAGAAAGAGCAGAGAAAGAATGATCAAAAAAGACCTGTCTGGCCGTCTTCAGAATGGCCCTCTGTGAGTTTCATCTGCACCTGAGAGAAACTATGGAAAGGGTAATGAAGAGTCAATTATTGTAAATGAACCCCAACAGGCCGATCATATCACTCTGAAGGGTTTGTTTTAAAATAATGGCCATCCGACTGTACTTGTTACATGGCTAACTAAATGAGTTTAAATCATTTTATTAGCTTTATTAGAGACAGAACATGACGGTTTCCCAGATGAGCAATGGTAATCATTCAAAGATATTTGAATGCTTAATGCTTCTATTGACCAATCAGAATCAAGCATACCAGAGCGTTATAGTTGGCATGTAATAAATTCAACTATTTCCTACATGAAAACTCATTCTTATGTATATATTGCATGCATATATTTTATTTTTTATTTTACTGGTGAAACGACTCTCTGTGATGTATGTCAGGTTTCTCCATTCATTTAGTTCACTTAAACCTAGCCTCTACAATCAACTGAAAGCTTGCAACAATCAATGAATAGAACCAAGTCTCCACCTTTATTTATATATCATTTTTACAAATGACAGTGGCCCTCAATGTCCTTAAAATAGAGGTTTTTCAGATTTGGCTTGAGAACTTCTCAGGACAAATCTGGTTCCAAAGTGTAGCTAAGTATAGACACACACGGGCAGCATTGGATGAGCATTTTCACACACGCATACTAACACATGTGTGTAGCGCTGGATGAATCGCATTCCTCGCTCTCTTCTTACACATTCACATCGTTGAATGAGCATTTACATTCAAACACAGAATGCCAAAACAGAAGATAAACACAAATGCCCCACCCAGAATAGAGTTGAAGTCTTTTTCTGGCTTCTCTATGTTGCTATGCTCAAGCTCCAGTTCAACCCGACTGATAAATGACCCTGGTCACTATAACTCGAGTAGGTTCTCTTTCTTTCTCTCTCTCTTTCACACACACACACACACACACTCTCTCTCTCTCTCTCTCTCTCTCTCCCTCTCTCTCTTTTATTGCCATGCTTTGATGTTAAACAGGACGTCTCCATAGATACAGGTCTTTCACACACACACACACACACACTCTCTCTCTCTCTCTCACACACACACACACTCTCTCTCTCTCTCTCTCTCTCTCTCACACACACACACACACACACTCTCTCTCTCTCTCTCTCTCTCTCTCCCTCTCTCTCTTTTATTGCCATGCCTTGATGTTAAACAGGACGTCTCCATAGATACAGGAATAAACAGATGATAACAAGCCCTCAGCCTTTAAAGCCCATTTCAGAAGGGAGTAACAGGAGAGACAGAAGAGAGAGAGAGAGAGCAGAACGGGACAGAAGTTGTGCAGACCCAGGAGCGTGTGTGCGTGCATGTGTGTGGATTGCCAGCAGCTGGAAGTCAGTAGCACAGGTAAGAGCAATTTCACTGACACTAATGTGAGAGAATGTCTTCATATACAAATGCACATGCATGCATGCACTCATCTTATTAGCTATATGCATGCACACATAACATCATAGACCCATAATACACCATGCATCAGCAGATGTGGTTTGCATATTGAAACATGCTGTATATAAATATTGCTATACAGTAAAGTGTGAATTCAGTGCATAAATTGACATGACATAAAGTGGCATAATTTCAAGACAAGATGATATATGCTACTGATTTAGCACCTTAACAAATAAAAAATTTGCATTCATTGCTGTGAGATACTGTGTTGAATGGAGTATCTGTCATGACTTTTTTATTGTTGGTATTTTTCTCTCCTTCTACTGGTCATAAATATACAACACAAAAAGTCAAAACGGGTAGAAAAGAGCATGTTTTAATTGCAAAAAAAAAAAATTATAATAATTTAAAATCTACTGTTTTCAACAGACAGTATAGTAACATGTCCTAACTGCAACATCTGCAGTCTGACTAAGGGCCATCAAGTGCCAAAAGATGAAATCATGTTCACTTTGGATAATTACAACTGCCACTGACTAAAATGATTTAGATTGCAATTATACATAAGCAAAATATACTGCATGATGTTTTCCCAGCGGCACATTGGCACATAAGGATGCTATTCATATTATAAATAATGAACAAAACAATGCTGACATCATCAGGTTAATTATAGAGCTGCTGTCTGTCTGATCAGAAAGTAAACACCCATTAAGTTATCTATAAAACATATAACTTTTTATGGTTTGTGATTATCATATATTAAAATCTATTATACTTCAGTATAAAATACAGAGCAAGTGTACAGAAACATGTTGTGTGGGGAATACAGGTATCCAGAGGGCAGGACCACAAAGAAGGTTTAGCTATAAAACTCTGGGGCTGAAACATATGATTATGATCTGCTCATAAAGTCTTCAGGACATGATGTGTCTACTGTTTGTTTGTGTGTTTTGTCTGGATGGGTGGGTACTTGTGTCTTTAATACAATGGTTTCCATGGACACCTCCACAAGTCTTGTCCTGAGTGAGGGGATCTCTTGGGAGGTGGGCAGTGTGTGTTTATGTGGACTGTTGCCTTTGCATGTGTGTTAGAAGGGTGACGCTCATGCTCACAATGATGTCTTTATTCAGCCGCCTGTGTGGGAATAACCTCAGCAGCAGCTCACACATGATCCCTCATACACTGTATTAGGGAAATACACAGCACACACATGCAACATGTTAAGCATGACGACTTATAAAATTAGACGATTTTCATGGTTCAGTGACTGAGGAACTGTTTGACAAACCAGTGATTATTACAACATGGTGCAACAATGTTTGGATACATTCTCCTCAACAAATAGGAAATAACTTGTCTGCATAACTTTTTTTTCTTTTGCATTCAGCAAGGACACATTAAATTCATCAAATGTGACAGAAAATATATTTATAATATTACCAAAGAGTTCTATTTCAAGTAAAATGTTCATTTGAACTTTACATTCATCAAAGAATCCTGAAAAATGTCGCTGCACAAAAACACTAAGCAGCGCTGTTTTCAACATTGATTATAATAAGACATTTTTCTTGAGCAGCAAATCAGCATATTAGAATGATTTCTGAAAGATCATGTGACACTAAAGTCTGGAGTAATGTTTGCTTAATATTGAGCTTTGCCATCACAGGAATAAGTTACATTTTCAAAAATGTGAATATAGAAAAGAGTCATTTTAAACTGTAGCAATATTTCACAATATTACTGTTTTTAATGTATTTGTGATCAAATAAATGCAGCCTTGGTGAGCAGAAGAGACTGTTTGATGCAACACTTGAGCCATTGTGTGTGAGCTCAGAGGAGACTACAGATGGCTGAAAGAGTTGGATTTGAAGCCAGGGCAAGCCCACCCACTGCTGCTGTACACTCATCACCTCTCCATGAGCCATCGGCTGCCAAACTCCTGACATCCATCTGAAACATTCCACAATAACTCCAAGACACATCAGACCATACACACACCTACTCTCGCCTCCATCAACAATGGCTGGACTGTGCAGACACACCAAGAAAGTCTAGAATCGGCCTCACTTCTGAAATTCCACGTTATCCAAACACTTCCACAGATCCATTGAGCTTTGAATTAATGCAGTTGCAAGTACAGAGACAATGCATTCTTGTACTTTACATCAACTATCCCATTTATATATTTGTTATTTTATGCCTGCATATTAGCGTGCTTGAGGCTGGAATGGGTATTAGCAAATATTTGATTCATATTAATGTCTCTACTGACCCTTTTCTCAGTATAGTATTAATGCGAAAGAAGGTATCAATGAAAGACAGTAAAGGCTGGAATACACTCCTCAGCATTTAAAATTGGAACAGATTTAAAACGCTAGGCACCCTACACATACCAACTTTGTAAATGTTTACAGAGGAAAAATTGGGAATCATACACTAAACGACTGGGAATCACATACTACCAGACTTTCACTTGTTCGGAACAAGAAAGAAAACAATATGTGTTCTAAAATTGGCTCAGAATATCAAATATGTATTATATCCTCCAACTGGATGGAATCATAGTGCTAATCATAATCATAGTGCTAAAAAACATAGTGCCCATCAAAGAGTACATGATTTTCTATGAAATCTATTAAGTCCAACTGCCCAACTTAAGGTCGTTTACACCAAGAACAATAACTACTGTATATAGATAACTATAATGCTATAAACTATAACTATATTAGAGTTTTGTCAGCTATGTCATCTGTTGCTTTAGTTTTTTTTAAAGTCTGATGAATTCTGATGGCAGTGGCTGTTTTATCGTTCATCAGCTGGAGAAAAACTGGAAAACGGTATTGTCATTATTGTTATAGTTGTAGTGTGAACATCCCTATTCTCAAAAATTTTTTTTAAAAACGTTATATTTATAGTTAATAAGAGATTGTCATAGTAAAACTAAAAAGGCCATCTGAAAATGTTTAGGAAATGTGTTTTTGTCTGTTGAGCAGTGCTCCGAAGTGAATAATTAGCAGTCTGCTGAGAGCTGATAATCACCTCATTAGCTCAGTCCTTACTACATATATTACTGTGCATGCAAAATAAACCCCATAAAATGTAAAATATACAAGTAGATATTGTAAATATTAACAATATTTTCATAGATTAAGTATAAAGCATAACTGTACAGTATTGGCAATGTAACAGAAATACTGAAAAGGATATGTTTATCATATTATTTAGAGCAAAGACATCTCGGGTCATAACATATGAGGAGTTCCAGAAAGCTCTAGAAGAACTGGCCCCAAAGAGATTCAAAATTCAAAGCAAAGAAGAGGCACTGCAGTCTATATATACGCTAATCGAGGGAAAAGAACCCACCAACGTTGGTGTAACGGTAAGTCAACCATTTGAAAACAATAATTTGAGGTATTTTTGCACGAATGTATGTTGATATAAATAAATGTGACTATACTGTGCAAGATGGCATCAAAATCAATATTGTTATAGACTACCAATCAAAAGTTTAGGATCAGTTTAAAAAAAAGAAATGTATACTTTTATTCAGCAAGGATGCTTTAAACTGAAAAAAATTGATTGATCAGTTATGATCAATGATCAAGTTATGCTGTTCTTTTAAACTTTCAATTCATCAGAGAATCCTGGAAAATAATCACGGTTTCACTGTATCATGGTTTCACAAAGATACTAATCAGCATTGACAATAATAAGAAATGTTTCTTGAGCACCAAATCAGCATATTAGGATGATTTCTGAAGGATCATGTGACACTGAAGACTGGATGCTAAAAATTCAGCGTATTTAAATAAACAGTTATTTAAATATTTAAATGTTATTTTTAATCATATTTCACAATAATAGTGATTTTTTAATCAAATAAATGCAGTTTTGGTGAGCATAAGAGACTTTAAAAACACTGAAGAATCTTAAAAAAAAAGAAGCAAGAAGACAGAAAGGTTATTTGTTTGCCATATTAATGACGTCAGTCATCTAGTTACTAGGCTTCATCAACTTCTTGGCAACTAATATCTTAGGCAACTAATATCTTAGATGTGACAGAAATATGGGGTAAGGGTATTGCCTGAATATTTAAAATGTTGCTCATGAAGCTCCTTCAACACTGCACAGTTTGGATGTCTCCTGTATCTAACACATAATTCAACTCATCTGTAGTTGCATGCGTTTTTTATGAACTTATTTGGATGCATCAAATAAGAGAGACACCTAAAATGAATAGTGTTGGTGGACCTCCAGAAGCAAGATTGAGAAACGCTAGCAAGGTACTACATCATTCCTCAGTGGGTTCAGCACAAGAGGGCAGTAACAAATCAAACAACAATAAATCAAACCTGGCAACTAGTTAAAAGTTCAAAAGGAGTTGCAAGAATATGTGATGTATATGTGGAATTCATTCAATGCAAAAAAAGGTATACTTTTATTCAGCAAGGATGCTTTAAACTGAAAAAAATTGATTGATCAGTTATGATCAATGATCAAGTTATGCTGTTCTTTTAAACTTTCAATTCATCAGAGAATCCTGGAAAATAATCACGGTTTCACTGTATCATGGTTTCACAAAGATACTAATCAGCATTGACAATAATAAGAAATGTTTCTTGAGCACCAAATCAGCATATTAGGATGATTTCTGAAGGATCATGTGACACTGAAGACTGGATGCTAAAAATTCAGCGTATTTAAATAAACAGTTATTTAAATATTTAAATGTTATTTTTAATCATATTTCACAATAATAGTGATTTTTAAATCAAATAAATGCAGTTTTGGTGAGCATAAGAGACTTTAAAAACACTGAAGAATCTTAAAAAAAAAGAAGCAAGAAGACAGAAAGGTTATTTGTTTGCCATATTAATGACGTCATTCATCTAGTTACTAGGCTTCATCAACTTCTTGGCAACTAATATCTTAGGCAACTAATATCTTAGATGTGACAGAAATATGGGGTAAGGGTATTGCCTGAATATTTAAAATGTTGCTCATGAAGCTCCTTCAACACTGCACAGTTTGGATGTCTCCTGTATCTAACACATAATTCAACTCATCTGTAGTTGCATGCGTTTTTTATGAACTTATTTGGATGCATCAAATAAGAGAGACACCTAAAATGAATAGTGTTGGTGGACCTCCAGAAGCAAGATTGAGAAACGCTAGCAAGGTACTACATCATTCCTCAGTGGGTTCAGCACAAGAGGGCAGTAACAAATCAAACAACAATAAATCAAACCTGGCAACTAGTTAAAAGTTCAAAAGGAGTTGCAAGAATATGTGATGTATATGTGGAATTCATTCAATGCAAAAAAAGGATCTGCTGAGGCAGGCTGCAACAGCCTTGTGCAGATCATCTGGTTAAATAAAAATATTATTTGGTTTGCTGAAGCACATTTCTAGTTCCATATTTTATTATATATATATCACTCATTTGTATGTTATATTTGTTTAACCATTCTAGAAAGTGGCCAAAACTGGTGCCGTGGATCGGTTAACCGACACATCTAAATATACGGGCTCACACAAGGAGCGTTTTGATGACAGTGGGAAAGGCAAAGGAAAAGGTGGGCGGGAGGAGATTGTGGAGCACACAGGCTACGTAGGTGCCTACAAGGACGCTGGGACTTACGAGGAGAAGACGAAGGCCAAGTAAGGCCCCACTGTCTCCATGTCAGCAAGCTCTGAGCTTCATCTTCATCAGCACTTAGGTCTGGACCAAAGCTAAACTTGAACTTTGACCTGTAAAATCACACAGCCACTATGCAGTGTAACACAGGATGTGTTGTAAATGTTTGTCTTTAAGTATAAAGAAGTATTACAGTCGGTTTTTGTTAGAAAGTTGACAGAAGGGTAAGAGAGGACTGGTCTCAGTCCTTTCATGCAGATACCAGCCCCTGCTGTATGTAGGATTTCAGGTGAAAATCTCAAAGAGGAAGCATAAAGACAGCTCTTTGGGTGGGGAAACAGATAATTAGTGTTTTTGTTCAGTTTTTATGTTGCTGTTTAATAGCTAGGCGCATCTAAACATCACAGTGCTTCAGAGAGGGACAAGCGGAACACAGGAAGCCCTTTAAGAGATGTATTTCCTCCAACATGTGTATAGATGCACTAACGGAATTGCTGTCAATAAAATCTAACAATATTCATTGCTAAAACGTAAATGTCTTTCTCCAAAGGATAATGGTAAACCAGCTTTATGTGTGTATTAGCCTTCTGTTATTATTTCCAAAAATTAATCGTCATATCTTTACGTTAGCTTACTGTGTAACTGAAACTGGAAACTGCCTTTGTATAAACTATTACTAAATAACTTTTGGTGTGTTTAATTTTAAGTTTTGTTTATGTAGGCCTATTTTGGTTTATTTTAAATAACAAATAAAATGCATAGGCTACACAACTATTTTTTTCCCTGCAGCAACAGCAAAACCTCTCTGGCGAGGTACAAGACTAAAACAGACAACAAAAAACATTGTGTCTGTGTAATTACTAACTACTATAGCATCATGACTATAACTACTAGTTTCAAAATAAAGATGAAATAGATTACGGCTTCACATTCTACAGCATGCTTAAACATATCCATCGTGCTAATTCTGTCAAACTAAGGGCTTTCAACTAGGGGTCCATGAACTGATGTTCCCTGAAGGCTGTTAATTAAATGATATGCCAAGCAAAACTATTTGACATTGTTAAAAATGTATACGGTAGGTCTCTTGCTTTGTAAAGGTCGAAACCCTTTTTTGCTTTATTCAGCACTCTGCGCATAAAATGAAGTTCTTTGCACCTGCCTGTGCTGCCTCTCATAAACCTAACAAAAATGTGCCACTGTGTAACCACAGCAACCTCCAAAAATACAGTAGTAAAACTGTGGTTAAATAACACCAGATACCTAATAACAAAGTCAAAAACGCTGTTAACTGTCATATCCAGCATTACACACAGCGTGTGTACGGAACACCGGTCCACTTGTCCGAAGTCTGAGGGACAGACGCTGGTCCCTCTGTTGCCATGGCAACCGCACCACACACAAACAAAACAGTGGCACCTGGCTCCGGCAGCCTTCCCCTGCCCTCTGAGTGTTTATAACCAAACACACTCGTTCATGGCAACGTTTGTTTGGTTCATCTCCTTGGAAGCGTTAATCAAAAACATCTCGCTCTATTCCAGCTCGAGCCTTTGTTGCTCCTGTCACATGTTGATAAATGGCATCGCACAGCAGCGTCGCAAACGCCTTCAGTCAAGTTCAGAGCTCGCAGCGCGCTGTAAGTCAATCAAGCGGCTGATTAATTGCCTGTTAACATGAGCGCTGTTGATGCAGGCGGATGACTGAATGCCTCTAGGAGGAGGTACGAGACACGATTAAGTAATGCTAAATGTACACTATATAAAAAGTCATTGTAATGGCTGGTTACATGTTTTATTTCTAATGTAAGGTATGTGTGCAGTTTGAATACAGCTTTGTGCGTCTAATCACTTTATTGCATCGGCTATATCTGATCTGGTTCTTGCTCTGAAACGCTTGAGAACTAATTCGATTTCCCCCGGACATCAATAAAGGAACCTAGTGGAACGACAAAAGACATCATTTATTGAGTGCACTGTGTGAAGTAGGCTAGGCTAAAGATTCCTTTAATTTGGGAACCAGGCCACCTGTTCAATATTTCGCATGCTCATATATGCCATATTTGTCAGATAAGCCTATATATTTGTATTTGTTTATGTATGCGGGACGGGTACCCCTTCTAATTAACGTGTTGCGTAATTCTAGTGAACGCATGGAGCCAAATATGAGTCAGGGTCATGTCTGACCTCACTTTTGTTACATGAGCTCTAAATAATATAGGACTATGCGACCAGTGGCGGCTTGTGGGTTTTAAAATAGAGGAGGCACACTAATTGTATTGGTCTGGGGATCCCTGTCGATTATTATTATTATTATTATTTGCTTAACCACTTTAAAATGACCTTTTGGTTGCTTTTAGTCAGAACATGTAAAGAAAACGACACACATACAGCAAGATAATATAAATTCACTTACCTGGACTATCACTTGAAGCAAACATCCATCCCTTTTTAAAGGGGTCATATGATGCGATTTCAATTTTTCCTTTCTCTTTGGAGTGTTACAAGCTCTTGGTGCATAAAGAAGATCTGTAAAGTTGCAAAGACTAAAGTCTCAAATCCAAAGAGATATTCTTTATAAAAGTTAAGAGTCAACCCGCTGATCCGTGCTGGTCGCTGAGGAAATACTTTAACTTCGCGCTGTGGATCACCGGATCGGCTTTCTCCGTGGATGAAGCGAGTCCAGCCCGGGGTCGTCACATGTGGTTGCTGCAGGCATCACAAAGCTGTGCCTCCCCGAAGCGCAGATGATGTGACTGCAGTGCCTCACCCGACAAGCTGCCACTGTATGCGACAATTAGTAATTAACAACTTGTTGAAATGATAATCTAATAGCCTACTGATGCTCTTGTGTTGTTTCACATATTATTTAGAGGTTATATAACAATTAGCAAGTAGGCTAACAATATGTTGAAATGATTATCACATGTCATTAGGCTTGCTACTGTAGTAAAATGCTAAAGTATGAAAAATAAAGACAAACAGGATCTAAGCAGAGGTTATGCAATAAGACAACTTTCAATGAATCCACTATACATGACATAAGAAGTTCCTGGATAAGACTAATTGTTGACTCGATGGTACCACCTTGTGGCACTTTGTAGAACATGTCTCTAATTTATTGATTTATTCATTCATTTAACGTCACATGGTTGGTTCCATTTTTTCTGAAGAGACCAGCTTCACTGCAGTTCAAAAGTTTGGGGTCATATCTGTCAAAAAACATTCTTACACACAAAAAACTTTTACTGACCACAAACTTTTGAATGGTAGAGTATATAATTCCCAGACACTGCATATGGAAAAAAGCAGAAAAGGCTAAAATTAAACTGCACAAATATGTGTGCATGTAGTAGCCTGGAATACCAACCAATTTTTACCAGACAAAAAAGTATTATATAATTGATAAGCATAATCTATGCACATGTTCTGAACTGACTATTCAATTAAGAACAAACAGTAGTTTGTACCTTTAATGAGTTCTCCGTGCAGTTGCTAACGTTGTGATTTGTGACTCATTAAGTGCAGACTTACCGGTGTTTGTCTCCAAGAAGAATCCACAAGCTATTGCTGTGTATTGCTGTTTTTAACACATTAATATACCTCCAGAGGGCTGCACACTCGGTGAATTGGTTGTTGTGGTGTTTACAAGAAAATCTAAAATGTGAAGAAAACACAAAATAAGTAAATAAAAATTGGTTCTGAAAGAAATTTGAGTAGAAACAGGTCTCCAGAGAAAAAAGAGTTGCAATGAACTGCAGTTCCCCTTCAGGAACTCGAGCTGCGCCGAGATTCGCTTTGGAAATGCCCTTGCGTGACTGCGTTCTGAAGCACGCGTCAAATCAGTCCAATGGAGCAGCGAGACATCACGAGCAGGGTGACGTAAGCACCAGAAAGTATAAAAGCGCATCCAGCAGAGCGCAAACCAGCTTCTGCTCTTCAGTAGCGCTCTGTGTATGTGTCTGTCTATTTACTGTTGTCTGTCGCACAAGCATATATAAAAAACAATCATGAAAAAGTCTATAGCGAGCGAACGGCATTACAAACGCTGTGTTCCTCCCTTCCCACGATATCTTGCGGCGGGGGATACACACGATTTGTGTGTCGTTTGTTTTGGAGTGGAGCATGCACCGTCAGCTTTCGAGCAGCTGATTGTCATCACTGCGAGTTACTCTCGCTGCGTATGCTCCGCTCTCGCCTGGCTGTGTTTGATGAGAGCGGCCAGGCTCGCGATCCCGCTGGCAGCGGTCCCGCTGTTGCTGAGGCACAGCGCAGACTGTTGTCGTGGGGATCGCGGGTGGATTTAGCGGAGGGATCCGAGACGGGCTTGTCCTTTTCTCAGTCCTCACCCGCTAGATCCGCGGCTCTGCGCTGCGGTTTCTCCCCCCCCCAGAAAAAAAAATAGAAAAAAAGGAGAGAGAGCCAGATGCTTCATCTGTCTTCCTCCGAGGAGGTGGATGTGATGAATGTCGAGACAGAGGAGACTGTGGACTCGCCACCACAGTCCCTCGTGTATGAGGTGTGATTCGTTATTATGGGGTGTGTTTCGTGCATTCGCCAAAATAAAATATCGTTTGACCTGCTTAGAAACAGGACGCTCATCCTAAAAATAATTAGACGAGCATTTTCTGAATCCAGATCACACCCTTCACGACAGGGGCCTTCCGTTTTTCCCAATCTCCCAGCTGAGGTGTCAATATCATGGGAGAAACCGTACTCATTCCGTATTACAGCCCCACAGTCTTGAATTATTCAAAAGAACACCGTGGGGCTGAATGATAAGGGATATGGGGCGATGCCAGTGGTGGAGCAGACACTTGCGAGCTATCTCTCCCCTGGTAGGTCAGGCTGGCGCATGTTTGCACACCATGGCGGTGTTACAAGCATACCAGGCTGACCTGCTCAGGGGTGGGGCTGCTGAGCG